ATGGTGAGATATGATCAGCGATGCTTGTGGCGTATCGACGAGGATAAGGGTTCGTGAAGGTGCTGTTAGGGAAGTGCTAATGAGGTAGGTGATTGGAGAAGATCGCAGGGGCCTCGTCGGAAGCTTGCCTCATCCAGCGTATGGGCGCGCGGCTCACCAGAGTGGATGGCATTAGAGCGAATGCGCGAGAACTGAGCCACGACGATTATAGCCCTATAAGAGTCGCAGCGGAGCGGCTGCCTGGGGAGACAACGATGAGTCAGTGCAGGCTGTGATCTACTATCATAGTGCGACCCTAATTCTACAGATTGTGCTAGTTAATTCATAGTCACACAATGATACTGACAGGGTAGACTGAGGTGCAGAGGCTATAGTGTCGCTATAGTCGTCGAATTCTCGTATGTATGATTGTTAGTCCAATACGCGGCGCAGGGACAGACCCTAGGCAGCATCACAGGTGAACGACAGGGTAGACCGCAGACATGAAACGAGGGTGGCTGGACGAGTCACCTCATGCTTCCTGCGCTCAGCTCACAGAAGTGCCGTGAGGTATTTGCCATAAGGATTGTCGGGCGGTGGAGGCAACGCGGATAGGCTGAGAGACGGAGCCAGGCTGAGGAGCGCACGAGGGCGACCGCGCGGGCAGGCAGGCTTCGAGAGATACTAAGCGCAATGGATGGCCGGATAAGGGCTGCGGCCCGAGAGGTACGACATATCATAGTGACCACCTTTGACTGATTCGTCGCTCTTGACTGCTAGTCAGTGAGGAGCAGGATGTTCGATCAGTTTCTGTTACGCGCGAGCGCGCTGCTCATGTTCTAGTACCAGATCAGATGGCACTATCGATCAGTTGGCTTGCTGAATGTGTCAGACAAAGGGAATTTTCTGTCTCTTCTTTTTTCTCACCTGACAGTATTTTAATTACCTATATACCTATAAAATGCCTGGGGACATCAAGAACTGGGTGGATGCGCACATGAACTGCGAAGACATCGCCATGAATTTCCTGGTGGCTAATGTCACAGGGAAAGCTGTCATCAAGGTAAGAGCACAAAGCTCCATTCTGTGAGCCCAAGAAGTTCTTATGATTGTAAACACAGATATTAGAACAATTATGTAACAATTATGTATTTGTCCTAAACCTTATTTTTCCATATTGATTGCCAGTTTTTAAAAGTACCTTTCCCACAACATATTAAAAGTTGAGATTATATAAAGATGCTATGGAAGGTCTTTGGGTCTGAAAATATGCCTAGTCTTGAAATTCAGACTTTACTGGAATGCAGATCCTACAATATGTAGAAGAAGGACACTTCTATATATGGATAGAATCAGGTTGACAGCTTTTTCCTTCTGGATTCCTCTAGGAATCTGCCTAGAGAGGTCAGCTTCCTTGGAGACTTAGACTGGAAGCATACATAGCATCTCACTGTTTCCTTGTCACTAAACAACATACCTAGGGAAGAGGGAAGTCATTGTCTTGCCCTAATCCCTTCCCTGTCCCCCAGCTGTCTCAGTGAACAACTGACTGCAAAGAAAATGGAAGAATGTAAAGGCAAGGGCTAGTTTAAAGGTAACTTCCACCCCCAAATTTTCTTTTCAATGTGTTTTGGTTTTAGTAGTGGTTACTTAACTCTGGACAGTGCCTCTGCATCTTCACCGTGACTCAATTTGCTTTCTCTCCCTCCCATCATTTCTCTACTTACTTATCTTCACTAGATTAGGAGAGCAGCCTCCTCTGAGTTTGCTGGAAAGATCATAGAAGTTTAAGGTTTGGGAGGATAGAAGGGAGGCCAAGGAAAGAATTCAAACAAAGGGTTGGAGACAATTGGATTTTTTTTTTTTTCTGACTGAAGGGAATTGCAAAATAATCGGGTATCTTCAAGAGCAAGGTGCTGCTCTAGCATTGGCCATCAGCTGAGAGAAAGAGAAAGGCTGCCTGCTGAAACTAAGGTTACAGTGAAAGTTATGGGAAGTTGTATTTCATCGCCCTTATGGCTGCAAGAACAAATGGTGTTTATACAAGGACCTTGGCAGTGAGAAAACAGTCATTAAACAGGAATTAAGGAGCTTGTCATCACCACTTCTTTCCAGTTACAGAAGGCAAAAGCCCTCCAAGCCTCTTTTATTGGGCCCTTGTGAGTTCTGCTGCTGACTGAGCCAGTTTCAGTTGAATGGAGGAATGGTGAGGGGTGTGTGAGTGTATGTGCCTACGTGCATGCAGCATCTCAGCATACAGACTGGTGTCACAGCTGACTTTATAATCCTGAGCACTGACAGCCAGGTATGTTTTGTGTTCCTCTGGCAGGTGACCCCACGAAAGAAATTCAAGTGTCCTGAATGCACAGCCATTGATGGGCTTTCGCTAGACCAGACACACATGGTGGAGAGGTGAGTGAGCCTCTGAGCAAAAGTCCGCCCTAGCTTCTGATCCCCATTTCCTGCCTTGGGCCTGTTTATGGGACTTTGTTGGAGATATAAGGACAGCAGCTGGTAGCCATAGTCACCTCTTTTTGCACTGTGGGAAATGGGTTGGTTCAAGCCCAGGTCACCTAAAGAATTAATTTGGAATGCTATTCACTCAATTTGTAATGGCTGGAAGGGTCTTAAAACTATAGCTGGCCTTAAGCTGCAAAAGCCAGATTCTCCATGTGGACTAAGCAGTTAACTATCTACAGTCACTTGGGTGGAAGCTAGCTAATTCCAAGGAAATACTGGATTGTTTCTCAGAGTAATAGCTCCATGTCACAGTAAAAGCTTGAATAGAAAGAATTAAACCAAAGTACCTTCGCTGACACTACTAAAACACCTGCCAAGAACAGGATCAAAAGTCAAACTGTTTAAATTATGGAGAGTTGGGAGGGGCTCCTGAAATAATCCTTTTATTTCAACTCTGTCAATTACTTACAAGCACAGATGTGTGGAATGTAGCTCCAGGCTGCAAGCCAGGATAAAAGGAGCGGGAGATGTTTGCCTTTCCTTAAGATGGCTAGAATCTTGTGCTAGACTGACTAGCTCCCACTTGAATCCCGAAAGATCCAAGCTTCAAAGTGCCTGAATCAAATCTAGTTCCTCCAGAAGGCAGCTCCTTACTCGAGATGGCAACTCTGACATCCCGCTAGCACAATTGTCAAGGGACCAAGATGCACTCCAAGAATGTTACAGTAACCTTTTAGAATGAGATCTCTAGTTCAAATTTCCACCGACCTCATGTGCATCTGCTTGTACAATTCATTTCTGAAATGTATAAGCCATAATAAAATCTTTCAAGCATGGAGGGGTTTTTCTACTGAAACTTTTTCTTCTATAATGCTTTATTCCTTCTAACTTTAAATAATTCCATCGCTTCCATATATAAATGTATTACCAAAATCACATGACTTGCCAACTGTTGATGTGAAGTTGTATATTGTTGTGATTTTGGAAATATGTCTGTCACTGGTAATCTTAAGTATCACACAGTAAAGGGCAGTGACATAACTATGATAGCTCATTTGGAAGAGGCCCCAATTGTAGTTCTCCTGGAGTGCATGAAATGGTTATTAAACCTAACCCATTTTCTGTGTTCAGGAAAATTCATAGGTTTAAGCCAAGTAGTTATTGGGCTGAGCTAAAACTGGGGGAGGGGAATTAGGAAAAGGATGTGAAGGGAGAAAAGTTGATTTGATAATGACCTCGAAGTTCATGCTGAGGCTAGACAACTCTTCATAGCACCACTGAAATCACAGCAAATGTAAAGAGCCTTAAAAGGCAGAGACAGAATGTTCAGTTAGATACAATGACTATTAAACTCTGGTCAGCGAGTGAGCGAGATGCAGAAGCCTATTCTTTGGAAGAGACCTAGTTGTTGGGGCTTGAATCAGGTTGTATCGGTTTATAATTGCTGTATGTGTGCAAAGCTTAATCCAAAGCTGTTTGTTATTAAGTACCCTGAGGGAGGCTCAAAGTGTTACAGTTCATGGGGGAAAGAAGAAACTCCTTGCCAGGTTGATTATTCAGAATAATTTTGTTAAAGAGGTGACACTTGAAGAAAGCCTTCAAAACTCACTGGAATCCCTGCCAGTGACACTTTGTGCAAGATGAGGTGCCCATCAGCAACTTCAAGGTTTATTTGACAGGCATTAAGAAATTCAGTTTGGTTAAAGCATAGAATACTGGCCTGCAACAGGCTTTGAATACCCAATTAAGGAGCTCAAACCTTTTCCTTCAGGCTCTGGAGAGCCATCGAGGATTTTTGAACAGGAACTAACTTTATCAAAGAATTGCTTTGAGATTAATTTGGAAGTAGTACATAGGATGGAATTAAAGAATGAAGAGACTGGAGAAAGAAGACCAATTAGAAGCCTTGAGCAAAGCTGAATGTGGAGAAAAAGGAACAAATTAAATTGCACAAGATTCCCCCCAGCCCCCAGGAAGATGTGGCACAACTTACCTTTCACCTAGATAGGTGTAGGGAGTTTGCAGAAAAGAAGTCAATTTTAAGTCAAAAGAAATGGTAATTCCTTTCACAGAATAAATAGTGCAGGTAGTAGAGAGGAAAAAGGAAGGACAAATGGCTGGTGTCTGTACCTTGAACAGAGTGATGAATGAGGACAACTGAGAACAGTAAGGTGGGTGATTGAGGTCTTGCCTTCTGTGTAGATTTAGACTTGGAGCAGGTGGTCGGAAAGACGTTAAAACAAAGACAGGTGTTTGGAAGTTGTCCCCCGCTGACAGCAGTTGGCTGAAGAGCAGACAAGGCAGAATCATGTCTGGGAGGCAGGAACCAAGAACAGAGACCCAGGAGGGGCCAGAAATAAGAAAGGAGCAAAGGAAACACAGGCTGAGGAAGACTCTCTGAGCTAAATAGTTATTGGTGGTCTTGAAAAATAATGTCAGAAAGTGATGAAGCTAGAGTATGAGTCGGTGATGAGGAGGTGTAAGTGAGTGTAAAATACCCTTATGAGAAATTTAATAGGAGTAGGAGGAAATACATCCTGAAATAAATGAGCAACTTCGAGCAAAACTACCTGGACTAAAGATTGAGGTACTGAATTGTTAAATACAGTGCGTAGATAGAAGGGAGGAAGACATGATTTAAGCCATCTTGGGTAGCCCAAGAGTTGGCATTACACTGTGAAATTATTCACTAGTTTTATTTTTTTAATAGTTCCCCTTGTAGAATACACATTTTCCATAAAGCAGTGAAAATAGTTAACCACTTTACCATGTATGACCTCTCGTTGAGTTTTGTGGTTCAGGAGGCTTATTGTAGTCCTATGTTTGAGAGTCTGGGACCAGAAATCTCAGCTGTGTAGGAGAGTAGCTCTTACTACCCACTACCAATTTCCAAGATCTATCAGTTCCTAAAGAACCAGACAAATCTGTACTTGTTCATTTTGACTAGTACCTTCACCAAGGCCACGTGGCAGACAAGACAGTGTTGAGTTCATAAAACAGTATTTTGATTCAGACCAATCTTTGTTCAGTTGTGAGTTTGCCATTTAGTAGCCTTGTGACCTCAGGAAATTGGCTTACCTTATCTGAACTTCAATCTTTTCCTCCACTAAAATAGGTTCACCAATTATTTTTTGAGCATCTCTGTACCAAACATTGTGTTATGTGCTGGGAGTGAACCAAGTAATCATTCATGAAAGCCTGGATAGCTCAGTTAGACCTGGCAATGTTTGTTCATGCCCCAATTTCTCCAGAGTTAGTTGCAAAGGCTTCCGGTTACTTTAGGGAGGTTTTGAAAGGAAAACAAAACCTGTAGTCCTTTCTTCCCCGGACGCTTCCAACACATCAGATGCAGACACTGGCAGTTCTTAGTGTGTGCCCTTCACTAGAAAGCAGCGCAGGAGAACAGTTGCTGACAGGGTTCCCCTCGGCCCCCGGCAGAGCAGCTCAGGTGGGCCATCAGCAGCCAGCCACGTTCCATCACCCTACTCTGTTCCCCACCAGATCATTTGGGTTACAGGAAAGTAGAAAACACTGTCATTGGGAGGCATAGCATAGGCTGTGCAGAAACAAGTGCTTTCCAGAGCTGAGACAGCTGGCACAAGCTAGGTTGTCCTGAGCCCCAGCAGCAGCTCTATGAGGCCCAGGCCCTACTGGCAGATCTAGTCACAGAAAAGACATTGTCATTAATAGTCTCCATGGGGGTTGGAGGTGTGGTTCAAATGGTTGAGCGCCTGCTTTGCAAGCATGAAGTTATGAGTTCAAAGCCCAGCACCACCAAAAACAAAACAAAACTAGTCTCCACAGACTGCAGAGCCACTACCTCCTCTAAGAGCTTGGGGTCCTTTCATACACTGCTGGTATTTACGCTGGGCAAAGCCAGGCCCTGCCCACAGCACAGTAACTATTTACAGTCAGAACCACTGACAAAAGAGAAAGCTTGGAGACTTGCATGGCCACCAGCTTAGCCCATGATTTAAGAGAGGGAAGTCCTGTCCAGTACCTGGGCCACATGACTTGTGTTAGAGCTTCTCACTCTTTTCACCACTGTCCTCCAGGTAGGGCCTTGGACACCACCTCCTGAGTGGCGCAGGCTGCCTGCCGTTACAGAGCACACTCTCCACTGCCAGTGCAAGCCTGAGGCTGAAACTCAGCTCAGTGTCCTTGGGCGAGTTCCTTAGCCTTTCTGTATGTTATTTTCTTAATCTGTAACAGGAGGCTAGCATAAACCTAGCCCTGGGCAAGGCAGGTGGGAATAGGGGAAGAAATCTTCAGGAATCAATGAGATGTGTACATAAATGACCAGGCAAAGACTCGAGGCTCAGCACTTGTTAACTTCAGCCCCTCCCATTGGGCCCTAGAATTGTGTCAACAAATAAATTTGTATCATCTCGTATAAGATTTTTGCTCAGGAATCAGAGCGCCTGGGTTTGGCTGTGGCTCTTCTAGTTTTTTGATGCTTACATGTGTTACCTAGTCCATGTGTGTCTCAGTCTTTCTGTTGTGAAATGGGACTAAGAGGAGGAGGTCTTGTGGGGTTATCAGGACTGGAAAGCACTTTAGCACAGCTTGGAGCTGTTTATTTGTGGTATTGGTGGGCATGATGATTCCATTAGCTAAAAGCTCAAAATGAATGGTAGCAACTGTTTTTGGAAACATAATGGCCAAGAGAAAGGACTCGATAATGACAGTCTTCTTCATTAATTGATTCCTTCCTAAAGCCCAGAGCTCTTAAATGAAAGTGATTCAATTAGAATAGTTTGAAACTAGGCTTACAGTGGTGTCTCTGAGGACCACAGAGGTTTCTGGTCTGTCTGGAATCTGCCTCCTTCTTGGTGGAGGGTTCTGACTGGTCAGTCTGTCTTGCTAAAGTTCTCAGGTGCCCAGGGCTGACTGAAGAGAGCACTGACCTTTCTGAAATCCATCCTCCAGGACCCCCTGACTTCAAACACTGTTTCCTCAGGCTTGTTTTCTCCTCTGGTTGGTGCTGACGCGTCCTCATTACCCAGCTGTCACACTCAGTTGGCCTGATTGACCTCAGCCATTCTGCAAAACGTGCCTGATCCTTCCCTTGATGGGGGTGCTGGAGCAAAGGTTCTGGCCTCCACCTCCTCCAAGAGCACTGTGCTGTCACTGGGTTGGCTTTCACTGCTAACTCTAATGTGGGGGCGACCAAAATCATTCCAGTTATACAGGCAGAACTGTGCAAACTTGGCTTTGTCAGAAGAGCTGTGCAAGTTGGCTGAGCGTTCCCAGACACAGCCTTCCATAGATGTTGGCTGCATGAAGTGTTCATTGTTTGAAATTCAGTTTCACCGCCCCTTATCTGCTTCTGCCTTCCCTGGCTCCGTAGGTAAGACCCTTCCTCTGCCTTCTAGAGGCTTAAATCCAGGTGGCCTTTTTCTTCCCATCCTCTGTCATCTCTTTAATTGGCAGAGATGGGGTTAAGGATTGTTGGCAGCTAATCCACCTGGGTTTGAGGCCTGTTAGTGGGAGCTGGAAGAATGACTGGAATTTGAGGGGTAGGGGGAAGGGGCTGATATTCTGACCCTAGGCCTATGGCCTCCAAATGGCATCTCCTGTTCACTTTCTCCCAGCAAACAGAGTCAGAGACCCAAGGTCACCTCATTCATTTGTCCACACGCCTTTTCAAAAGCTGGGCAGCAGGCTGGAGGTACTCACATTTCCCTAGTCCACGATGAACGTGATGTGCTCTGCTGTCTTCTTGCCTCTGAATGTCTTCTTTTTCTCCCCACCCCTCCCTCTCACTCTGCTCCCCCTGCCCTCCTCTATCAACCCCACAGGTCTGAGTGCATCAACAAGTTTGCTTCTGTCTTTGGGACAATGCCCCTCAAAGTGGTGGAGCACCGAGCCGACCCTGTGCTGTACAAGGATGACTTTCCTGAGAAACTGAAGAGCTTCCCCAACATCGGCAGCCTGTGAAGCATGCCATTCTGGGGGTCTGTTCAGAAGCTGGGCAGGAAGAGGACGGGCCTCCCTAACACTTTTTATGGGGGTGTTGGAGAGTAGAAGGGGGCAGCCTGGGTCTCAGTGGCCATGTGTGTCTACCTAACCATATTCCCAAGAACAGAGCTCTGAAAACTCTATGTGCACCATGAACTGGGCAGCCTGTACTGTGTCCTCAGTATCCTGTGGCCCTCTGAAGGTGCCAAGGGAAAGACACCTTGGTAGTGCGCTGCAGATCTGAATTCAGTGCGGCACCCTTTGTTTGGAGTCTAGGTGATAGGCTCACTGACTGCTCAACTGCCTGGTGAGGAGAAAACCTGTCAGCCTGCTCTAGGTCCCAGAAATCATGGCCAAGATGCCCAGGCCTCACTTCCAGTTACTTCACCCCAGAGAGTCTTAGGAGGACTATGGTGCAAAACCCAGCATCTTTGTGGATTTGACCTGGGCCTGGGGCACGGGCACATGCAGAGGAAGAGTGCTGGCTTCTGAGCCGAGCCTGCCAGTCCCTAAATGACTACTCTTTGGTTTAGTTTTTGATATGATTAAAAATATTTTTTACTCCTTTTTATTTATTTATTTTTTTACTGTGTCTTAAACACGGATTTCTGATAGTTCAGAGAACCATCCTTCTTTTGTGTATTTAACCCCACCTCTGGCCTAACAACAGTCTGGGAAGACACAGCCAGGAGAAATGTCAGGTACCATGTGCATTGAGTGTAAGAAGGGCCCAGATCACAGCCATTCTAAGAGCAGATGACTCCAGAGCCTCCAAAGGAATCTTTGCTTCCTGATAGGGCCCAGTCAGTGTTTTGAAGGTGTGCTGGAGGGAAGGGGAGGGGAACAGGAGACCCATGATAACCATTCACTGAGTCACTTTAGCTGGTGCCATGTTGTAAAAAGTCGAGGTCTTTGTGACCCTCACCCCAAGAGGATGCCAAAATTTCCCTCATTCTTTTGTTATAAATGTAACATTAGCCAGGGAGGTTCTGGCTAACGTTAAGTGCTGCTATAACAACCACTTTGCAACAGTTGCCGGTATATTTAAATCATTAAGTTTCAGCATTTAGTAATATTGCACATGTGTGAATTATACCTCTTTAAGCCCAGTTGATGAACAAATCTACTCTGGCAAATGTTAAATGTTACGGATTCAAAACAGATTTATCTGGCTCTAATATTAAGATTAGCCACAGTTTGGGCCTTAGCCATAACATATGTCCCCAGAACACAAAATACATGACAATTTGCTTAGAATATGGATATGATTATGGAAACCCAGTTGTATACCAGTCGAAGTCACTCGCACTCTCCCGGATTGTTGTGCTGAGCAACACGAAGGTGGGCAATGACTGTGCTGTGGTCTTAAGCCATCACTTTGCATGTGTTCCCACTGACTGAGGGGCCAGAGGACGGTGTCAGAGGTGAAAGTGGAAGTCCTAAGCTGCATCTTGCTTCAGATTCAGTAGTGATGGAGTCACGGACTATCTACAGAAGGGATGAGGAGTACCCGCCCAGCTCGCTCATGCTGCAGATGCAGACATTGGGGCCACAATTCACTCAGCGAATTTGCGCTGCAAACACAGGTGCTCCAGAAGTGCTTTTGACTTGCAGGATGCACACTAATCAGTAGGACCCCGGAAAGGCCTTGTGGGTTCATGGTCGCAATACTGGGGATGGTACCGTAGAAGGCACAGAAATCCCTTTCTGTGCTCCTCCAGGTCCAGGAAGCTGATGGCAGTGAGTGCCTTTTCTTTCCAGGAGGCCACAGCCTGTTCCCAAGATGTGGGGCATGGGGTGGAGGCCCACATTGAAGTCCCTGCTGAAGCCAGGAACTGTGCTGGTGGGGCATATGTGACATCACCTCAGCCTGGCTTCTTCAGCTCTTTTGTCCATTTACTCCTCACTGAGCTCACCTTAGTGGCTGGTTTCTAACCCAGTTCTCCCTCCATAGGAAATTGTTCTGTCTTATTTTAAACCTGGTTAGCCCTCAGATTTTGAAAGAGGAGCTCTAATCTGAGATGATTGGGAGCCCCAGGGAGCATGTGGCTTTGTCACCACTGAAGGAGCCGTTGGGAGTTAAGGACATTAAAACTCCACTTAAGTACCTCCCTATTTACAGAAGTGTTGGGGTTACATCTTGCAACATAGCAGAAGGAAACTTATATTGAGGAAGGAGTATCACATCCTGGCCACTTGAGACAGACCTCAGTGTTTCTTCCTGAAGGGACAGGTTGTCCAGTCATAGCAGAAATGCAAGACAGGAATGCAGCAGGCAGTCAGGGTGCAGGGATTCAGGGTCCAGGAACTGAACCCCCTTGTGAGTGTCCTTCTGAGCTGCTAACCAGCAGGCCCCAACCATAAGCTTGGGCTGGGACCATCTGCCCTTGGGATGCCACAGAGTGCTTTCAGAAGCAGAACAATGATGCTAATTAAAATGTCATGTTCTGGCCCATAGCAGACAGCAGCTGGCTCTAGATTAAGAAATCTTTTTAAAGAAATTGTGTCCTACTGGCCTGTGGAGAAGGCAAACTTGAACTGGCCCTGGTACTGTCCCAAGTGTCTGCTCTGATCCACTGCCTTTGCCCAGGGACCTAACTGGGATTGACCTGAATGGAATGCCAGGCTTAAAATGACTTTTTTTCCTGTTTAACATTAGACGGTTGTTAATATGTTTAGCTCATGTATTTTACCATGTCCCACAGGTTTAGGACCAAACCGCCTTCTCTGGGAGAATTAAAGAGGATGATAGAGCTTCATTCTCAGAATCTCTGGTCTTCCCTGCCAGCGATGCTCCATTGTCTCTCTTCATTCACTGTCATCAAGTTCAAAACTCTGACATCTCTACCTCCTCAACCAAAGCTAGCTTTGAGCTAAGTGCTTTGGGTGCTTGGTCCTCTACTGCCCATGGGAAAGATCACCTCCCTGGGAGTGCAGAGCAGGACTGGAGCTGGAGTGGGGAGTGCCCCTGCACTCACTGCCTGAAGGAGTTGCTAAAGACTCATCTGGCCCCAGCCCCTTCCTGGGATGCCAGTCTCTGACAAGCCCCAAGTTGCAAGGAGGCTTCTGTGTCCAAATCACTGGGAGACATCAGACTTCCTGCCATAGTACTGAAGTAGAATTTGGGGTTAAAGATCCAAGAACCTTAGATGATTAGGGAGCGACCAGATTAGGGAGTGGTGGGGTTCTGCTAAGGTTCTTCCTGGCTCTGCAGGGCAAAGCCTAAGGCTGCTGGGGTTCCCATCAGCACTGCCCTGGGCCCAGGGGTGGAAGGGTCTCCTTTGCTTTAGGACAGTGGCACCTTTGGAGGTCAGCTGCTTTTCTCTTTCCTCCTGGCCCAGATAGTCTTTGGCTGCTCCCTGGGCAGCCCTGGCACAGAAAGGCAGAGACAGAATGCAAAGCCAGCCAGACCTTTCCCAGTTACTTCCTGAGAGGCAGCTCTGGCAGGAGGGCTAACCATATTGGCAGGAGACGCAAATTGAGCGTTCCACTGCAGGATCTGGAGGCAGCCGCTTACCCCAGAGCTCTGTGGAGGCCCTGGAGGTACCATCCTGGGCCAGTTTTGTTCCTCACCCCACTTCTGAGCATGAGCAGGGGTAGCATTTGGCCCCATTGTACCAACCATGTGAGGTCTGAGGATCTGGAGACAGGCCTCCCTGAGCTGCTTCTGGCAGAGCAAAGTCAGGCAGACAGGACCTACTCTTCATTTGAACACTATCCCCTATCTTTAAGGTGAGAGTTGTGAGTTCATCTGAAGATGGGGTGCAACCTTCTAAGCCTTCCTTCACCTTCATTAGTGGATTCCCAGGAATCCCCTACATGGGTGTGTGGCTCCAGGTTCCCTGGGAGGATCCGTGGGACTCGGTAGGCGGTGAGGTGCTGTGACTTTTTAATTTCGGGCTCAATGTTGCTGGCAGTAGAGGGAGGATGGTGAGGACGAGTCTGGCCCCTGTCCTGGCTTCCGGCTGCTTTCTCCTTGAGGACACAGCTGAGTCACCAGCATCTGCGTCTGGCATTTTATTTTCTAATGTGCAGCCTTTTTAGGGAACAGCTTTTTCCTTTCTTCTGCACTGAACCTGTTGTACCCCTGGTTATAACTCTTCCCACAGTCTTGAGGTTCTGTGGGTCTGCTACAGGCCTGCTCAGCAAAGTACCATCTTGCCTAGCACCTCTCAGGAGCTACACATGATGCCAACAGAGCCACCTGCAGGGCCTTGCACCGTGTAGCACCTTCCCTCAGAATGCACCTATTTGGACTTTTCTTTACAGATATAAACTCATAGCACTGGCTCGTATGCAGGATAAGCCTATGGTTTTCTAGAGAGCACGGCTGAAGAACAACTAGTTCCACCCCAAGGAGAGACAGGGGAGCATCTCTGCTGTGGTCTGTGCATGCTCGCGCTGGAACTGTGCAGCTGACAGAGACGCTGCCCTGTGCTCAGGAGGCCCCAGGGCTTGCAGGACTCTTGAGCTCTGTAAGTAGCATGAGGCCATCCATGCCCAAGACTGTAAGCATGGGCGTTCCAGTCCCGACTACACGTGAGGACTCTGTGAACCCATCCTCCAACGGATGGCGGATGTGAAGAGATTTCCTTGTTTCCTTTTCTCATGGCACCTGCCCTTGAGTGTACGCTGGCCCTGGAGGGAGTCCATGCCCCTGCCTTAGTCCCTTCAGCCAGAGACTGGGATGGCAAGAGCATGAAGACCTGGGTTAGGGGGGAGGGAACAGAGTCTCAGATGTCTCCCTCTCCTAATCAGGTCTTTTACCAGATCTTACCTGGTGATGCTGGCAGCCAGCCCTCTTCTGGCCCCTCTCCCTGCATACCCTGTTACCAGAGAGCCTGGGGGTCTGGTTCCTGTCTGGCCCCGTCAGGGCGGATTACCAAATGAGTGGTTCTTTTGCCCCAGTCCTTTCCTGTGCTATAAATAAGCCCCATGTTTATTTTCTTATGTTATTGAAATGAGCACTTGTGACTTGGGCCTCTTTTGACGAGTCCAGCGAACGTCCATCCGGTGCCTGGTAAGGGCCCTGCATGGCTGGCTGCTGTCTGAAGCTATTTGGAGTCCTCTCCCTGTGTTTTGGATGTGGCTTAATTTCCCTAGAAAGGGCTGTATGCTGCCTTGTATCTGCTGATTTTCAGGTTTCAGCTTTCTGCCAGCCTCCCTGCCTGCTTAGAAGTAAAGTTGTGTTTCTCATTAAGGGGATAACAGCCACAATTGTGGTAATTAACGAAAATTGTACAGTGGTGGCAGTGGTTCCTCTAAGATTTCCAATAGTCTTCCTCTGGTAGATCCTGAGGGGCTCACCTTCAGCTCCTCTGCCTGCCCTGCGCCAAGTTCCCTGTCCTGGCTTTCTGGACATAACCAGTAATTTCTCTCCTAATAGCCTTGTTCTTGTCGCCAGCTAGGTTTGATGTCTTGACAACATGGCCAAGAGAGGATTTTATTAACTCCACCTTCTCCAGTGCATGGAAGATTCAAGGATTCTCTCTCTCATTCCCTCTCTCTCTCTCTCTCGCTCTCTCTCTCTCTCTCTCTCTCTCTCTCCTCATAGCACCTTCCATTCATACCTGGCCCTTCTTTGGAATTTATAAAACAGATGGATGAAGGAGTAGAAGGGAAATGCCTGGCAGCCTGTGCTGTGTTGCATGCTACATGGAAGTCTGGGGATCGGGAGCTGTCCTGAGTGAGGACTTTGTGTGTTAGTTTGTCAGTATTCAAGGCCTCACACTTGTCAGTTAGATGCTGTACTACTTGAGCTGTGCCCTGGTCTTTTTTGCTTTTTTTTTAAACTTATTTTTCTGGTAGGGTCTCACAGTTTTGCTTGGGCAGGCCTAGATTGTGACCTCCTACCTATGCTTCCCACATAGCTGGTATTATAGACATCCACCATCATGCCCAGTATTTTGTTTAGGTTGGGGGGGGTCTCACTAACTTTTTGCCCAGGCTGGCCTCTAACCTTGATCTAGCCAACCACAGCCTCCCAAGTAGCCACTGCATGGGCCTGTGAATGATGACTTCGAAAGAGTGGTTTTTTTTCTTTGGCAGCACACCAAAAGTATCCCATGACACCATGAGCAGGGCACATCCTTATTTATTGAAACTTGGGCTAACGACAATTATCTACTTCTCAGAGTAGATTATTCTGGTTAGTTACTCAGCAGAGAAATATTTTCATGGACACAACCTGAACTCAAAGTCTCTTAACGGAGAGAATTGCATCTAACAATAAGATTTCATTCATTGTAAGAGAAAGGACCAGGGGAAAGTAATTTTTTACTCATGTGTTTTTACTCTAGTAACTTGTAAAGATAATTCCCTTTGGAACAATAAAAAGCCTGTGCAATGGATTCATTCAGTCAACAACTCTTTATTGAGCACTTAGTATGTGTGAGGGACTGTTCTTGCTGTGAGGATGCTGCATTGAGCAATGCCATGTACCTACTCATCAAGACAAGTAAACAGATATCATCTCAAGTGTCCATAAATGCTGCGAAGAAAGTAAAGCAGAGTATTGTAGATAAGTAACACCTTGGGCATGAAGAAGCATTTTGGAGGGGCTGGCTAGAGGTGACAGTTAAGCACATATCTGTTAAGAAGGAGTGAACCATGAGGACACCAGGGAGCAAGGAGAGCTAGCATAAAGGCCCTTGGGCAGGAACAAGCTTGGCTTAGTTGAAGAATAGTAAGAAGCACTGTGTGGTTGAAGTGTATCATGTAAGAGAGAATGCTAGGATGCCAGAAAAGCAAGCCAGGCCCAATTGTGTTAGGAGCAAATTGGCTAAAAAGATTCTTTTCTATTCTTTAAAGTCTCTTTCCTTAGATTCACACTTTCCCATGTTTTCTTTAATCTCCCTTAAAGTCTCGCTCCTCAGACTTGCACTGTCTCTTAAAGTCTCGGTGCTCAGACTTGCAGACAACAGCAGCTATGTCTAAAAACTGCATTAGCGTAACTCTTAAAGTCTTGGCCCTCAGACTTGCACTGTCCCATGTTCTCTTTAACTTTTCTTTAGCTTAGCTTTTCTAAAGCCTATGTATGTATAAAGTTCTCGGTGCAGAAAGCTCTTCTGGTGGAGACTCACAACATCCAGCAGCCTCTCAAACAGTCCACAGTCAACTAATCAGAATCCCCCATCAAAAAACCTCACATCCTCCTTCAGGGAGTCTTTTATATCCAGTGGAAAACAAGGATGTGGAGCAGCAGTTCTCGGGGAGGGGCATGACGTTGTAACAAGAGAAACCAGAGATCCTAATTATCTGAATGTAAACAACTTAGGAAAAGCAGCTGTGCTGCATTTTGCCTCTGGCTTTCTTCTGCAGCTGGGGCCATGCCAAACTCAGCCTGTAGATCATTGAGCACAACTGTGCTTATGTCAAGTTCTCGTAGGCTTCTCATAATCCACTCCCACAGCCATTAAGCATTTGGATACCTAGTACTCAGAGGAAAAGCTAGGGTTGAAAATATAGATGGGATTTACTATCATAGGGCTAGTTGAGATTACCCAGAGAGTCATAGTAGGTAGAAACAAGACAAGAACTGGGCTGGAGCACTAGGCCCAATGTACATCTTAGAGAAGAAAGGGAAGAACTACAAAGAAGACTAAGGCGTTGGTGGTGAATTAAGAAGGAAAATAGAAAAATCTATAAGTTCAGCTGTGATAAATTACAAATGCATGGTGTAAACTCTAGAGCAACTACTAAGGGGCATAGTTAATAAGGCAATGCTGGCAGTAGGATACCAAAAATACACTGTTAAAAAGAAGACAGGAAAAGGAGTAAACAAAGAAGAAATGAGACAAAATAGAAACAAATAGCAAGACGGTAGACTTAAATCCAAACATATCAATGATTGCATTAAATGTAAATGGCCTAACCACTATAATTAAACTCCAGAGATTATCTAGACTATTCTCTGTGGTTTGACTGTGTTCTCCAGAAGTCCCTGTGTTAAAGTCTTAATTCCCAATGCACCAGTTTTTAGGTCATGAGGGTGTCACCCTCATGAATGAATGAGCACCATTCTCACAGAAGTGAGTACATAAGACTGGCTGTCATTAAAGCAAGTTTGTCTTCCTTGGCAGTGCCATTTACCATGATATGAAGCAGCAAGAAGGCCCTCACCAGAAGCCAAGCTGGTCTCATGCTCTTGGACTTCCCAGTCTCCATAACCATGAGCTAAATAATTGTCTATTCTTTATAAATTATCTAGTCTGTGCTATTCTGCTATACCAACAAAAAACAAAGACTGAATTAAAAAGCAAAAGCAATTACATACTGTCTATCAGGAAAATTTGACATTTTAAAGTTAAAAAAGGTAAAAGTTTGGAAAAGATATACTGTGCAAACATTAATCACAAGAAAGTGGGAGTGATTATCTTTCTAGAGAGAAAAAAACATTTCATAGTGATAGTGGTGAAGGGGCCAATTCACCAGTGCATGTATTCAGTGAACAAAAATGCTTGAAAATACATAAAGGAAAAACAACTGAAAGAGAAGTAGAAGACCTATAATTATATATGGATGTCTAAATGCTCTTATTAACTGACAGAACAAGTTAATAGGAAAAAAATAGTCAGAAAAATATAGATCGCCTGAGTAACACTATCAGCTGTCTTGGCTAGTTGGCAGTTATAGAATGCTTCTTCCACATAGCTGAATACACCTTCTTCCCAAAGGCACAGGCAACATTCACCACAAGTAATTTTAGAATTGAGAACAAAAAATACATTCTCTGACCACAGTGAAATTGAATCAAAAATCAATAACAGGTAGCTGGAGAAATCCCCAATACCTGGAAATTAAATAACATTTCTAAATAATGCATAGATTTTTAATAAAGACAAATGAAATTAAGAAAATGTTTTGAGTTGAGTGAAAATTATAAAACTACCAAAATGTATGGGTAGAGTACTTTGAGAGATAGCTATCATTTGAAGTGATTAAATTAGAAAAGAAGAAATGTCTAAAATGACCTAAGCTTCTACCTTAAGAAACAATAAAAAAAAAATTAAACACAAAGTAAGTAAAAAGAAAGACTAAAGGGCTGGCGAAGTAGCTCAAGTGGTAGAGTGCCTGCCTGGCAATCATTAGGCCCTGAGTTCAAACCCCAGAACTGGGAAAAAAAAAAAAAAAAGACTAAAGTATAGATATCAATGAGATAGAAAAATGGAAAACAACTGAGAAAAATCAATCCAGAACTTGTCCTTCAGAAAGGTCAGTAATTGCTCAAGACTGTTCAAGAAAAAATAGAGCTGAGATACAGTGTACCCATTACTAGGAGCCAGATGTGAGGGCGATCTGGCTGCGACATCTGTCGCCCCATTGATCACCAGGGTTGATTGAGATGATCTGGCTGGCTAGGCGGGTGTCCCCTTCCTTCCTCATCGCTCCATGTGCCACCCTCCTGAAGCTGTGTACTCAGTCAAAGAGGACAACCTTCCCCCAAGGAAGAGGACCATTTTTTGGTCAAGGGTATAGAGTAGCTGCACTCCCCTGCTGAACCTCCAAACAAGCTCTCAAGGTCCATTATCAGGAGCCAAAGAGGGGATGTGACTCTAAACACATTAGAAGAGCAGTACATAACTATGGTCTGAATGTTTCTGTTCCCCCAAATTCCTATGATGGTGCAGGGTTGGCGATTAAGTCATGAGGTGTCTGCCCTCATGAATAGGACTGGTGCCCTTATAAAGAGGCTAAAGAGAGGGTGTTTGTCCCTTCCACCATGTGCTGACCCAGAGGCACCATTGAGAAATAGGCCCACACCTGATCCCAAGTCTGATGGTGCCTTCACCTTGGACTTCTCAGCCTCCAGGACTGTGAACAACCGATTTCTACCATTTATAAGTTGTCTAGGATGAGACACCAGGGAACTTTTTGGGGGTGAAAGAAATGCTGTATATTTTCTCATGATAATTGGTTACATGCATATATATTGTCCAACTCATCCAAACTCACCAGGCTCCTGTGGCTCACGCCTGTAATCCTAGTTACTCAGGAGGCAGAGATCAGGAGGATTGCAGTTCAAAGCTAGCCTAAGCAAATAGTTCACAAGACCCTATCTAAAAAAAAAAACTTCCAAAAAAGGGCTGATGGAGTCGCTCAAGTTGTAGGCCCCGAGTTCAAGCCCCAGTACTAGAAAGAAAAAAAAAACCTCAATAAAGTAGATTAAAAGAAAGATCACTCATGGTTAAACCCATTACAGTTCAGTTTGTTGGGTTTTGCTGTGTGCCACTATCCTCACCTCCTCACCTGGTTCCAGTTCCGTTGCCTCAGTTCAACATTTCCTGTTGTGTTCTTGGTGAGGAATACGTGCCACCTTTCCAACTGACATTTGCCATCTGACAGGTCCTGTGCCAGCTGCTTCAGATAGAGGTGAAGAAAACTGTGTGATTGATAAGGAGGGAGATGAGTCCCTTCGAGTGCCACCTGCTGTGGAAAGCAATGCATGGCAAAGGGGGACTTATACGTGTTCCCTGCTAAGGAAGGAGCAGCCTCCATCTGACTTGGTAAAGGAGGGGCACCTGAAGTGGGCCATGGAAAGTTATGGGGTAGAGTGGGCACCAGGTGAAGAGAGGGTGTGGGCAGGCCAGGACAGGCGTTTTGCCTGAGGGAGAGGAATGGGTGTCCTTGAGTTGCAGGGGCTCTGAGTCCAGGCAGAGGGTTAGAAAGGATGAGGCTGGAGAAGAGTTCAGGGCTGTATTGGGTTCTCCAGGGACAGAACCAAAAGGAGAGAGAGAGATATATTAGTGGGATTAAGTAGGGGAAGTGGTTCAGGAGGTGATGGAGGCAGGCCATCTGCAACTGGAAACCCTGAGATGCCAGAAGCATGACTCAGTCTAAGACTGAGGTCCAGGCCTGAGAATCCTGGGGAGGGGGAACACTGGTGCGAGTCCTAGGGCCCCAAGGCAGCCTTAGGTTCTGATGCCCAAGGGCAGGAGGACGAGTGAGTCCTTGCTTCAGCTGAGAGCACAAATACTTTCTCCCTTTCCTGTCTGGGCTCACCCACCCTGAGGGCAGATTTTTCTCACTTAGTCCCTGCCTCATCCTCCAGGCTCCTCTAGAACACTCTCGGACTCACTCAGAGCAATGCTTCCCAGTTCTCTGGCTAGCCCATAATCCATCCAAGTTGACGCCTAAGACTCACCATCACAAAGTGAAGTCAAAGAGCTGAGATTCTGGTCTGTAGGAAGAGTAGAGCCATCTCAGGCTAATGTTC